AGTTAGAAACATCGATGAGAGAGAAACATCGATCAGCTGCCTCCTGCACACCCCCCACTGGGGATGTGCCTGCAACCAAGGTACATGCCCTTGACCGGAACCGAACCTGGGACCCTTCAGTCCGCAGGCCGACGCTCTATCCAATGAGCCACACCGGTTTCAGCAAAAGTGATATCTTTTGATGACATAATAATGCAAAGTTTTTCAATATAAAAGTAAAAAGAGAAATCAAAAGGGAAATCAGTGCCTGGGGAACATATCAGAGCTAGGCTAGTATTATACAACAGCAAAGGGACCATTATCTTCGGTAAAGAAAGAGTTTGTGCAAATTAAAAAAATATGTTTTTATTAATTTTAGAGAGGAAGGGAGAAGGACATAGAGAGAGGGAAACATCGATGAGAGAGACACAGCCATCGGCTGCCTCCTGCACGCCTCACACTGGGGATCGAGCCTGCAACCCAGGCACATGCCCTGAATGAAATCAAACTGGGGACCTCTTGGCCCCTGGGTCCAGGCTCAACCACAGAACCATTCCAGCTGGGCTGCACAAATTTTTAAATATATATATATATATATATATATATATATATATATATATATTTGATTTTTTAGGGATAGAGAGTTAGAAACATCGATGAGAGCGAAACATCCATCAGCAGCCTCCTGCACACCCCACACTGGGGATGTGTCCGCAACCAAGGTACATGCCTTTGACCGGAATCCAACCTGGGACCTTTCAGTCCGCAGGCCGATGTTCTATCCACTGAGCCAAACTGGCTTTGGCTGCACAAATTTTTTTAATAAGCGAGAGTTGATTTAGGAAGCCACATAAGCAGGGGGGCCCTTGGAGCTGAGGGGAGAGAAAGGTAGGGCGGAGAGGCGAGGGGTGTTCTCAAGGGGGAGACTCTGAATTTGAGCAAATTGAAAAGGAAATTATGAAAACCCCCAACAGGGGAACGTCAAGACTCACAAATAAAAAATACAATAAAGCAAGCAAGGCACACAAGAATGGCTCCGCCTGGCCCAAGATGCAAATCGGAAGAACGAGGTCCCACGCTCTGCCTGCTCAGTCACCGGACGCGAACGCACAGTCCTAATGCCGGGAGCGCTGGGCATTGGTGCGGCCCCCCGAGAAGCAATTTGGAGAAACGGAGCAGGAGCGGAAAAAAAAATTCATGCCCGCTGACTTGGGATAACACTTCTGGGAAACGGCTCCATGAAAATAATTGAGAATATGAAAAAATAAACATGAAGATCTCAGATTCATCAGGAATAATGAAATCTGGAAGCAATCCAGATGCCCTGAGAGCAAGCTGCACATCCCCTCCCCCCTTTCCTTCCCCTCCCTCCCCTTTCCCCCCCCTCCCCCCTGCAGCTGTCATGGAGAGAGGAGCCAGCTGGCTGTCCTTTGCTAAAACATCCCTCCTTCCAAGCCTTCAGGTTTATAATACCCTCCCCACATTGTAAGAAAGCACATGTGCTTATAAATTTAGAAAGCAGTTTAAAAAAAAAAAGTTAAACCTATACTCCCACCAGCCAGAGAGAAGCACTAACCACATATTTTTCTGCTATTTTTCTATCTGACTATATACATCTGTTATATATATTTTCATATATGTATATTTATTAATATTAAAGAGGAAGGGAGAAGAAGAGATAGAAATATCAGTGATGAGAGAGAATCATGGGTCAGCTGCCTCCTGCACGCCCCACACTGGGGATGGGGCCTGCAGCCCGGGCCTGTGCCCTGACCGGGAATCGAACCGTGACCTCCTGGTTCCTAGGTCGACCTTCAGCCAATGAGCCACCGGGCCCATGTTATTTCTTTTTTAAAATGAAGTTATATTGCGTCTCACTTTATAGCTATTTTTGAAATTACTAAGATGACGTTAATGTCTCTATGTAATGACACGATCTTCTATTATCTAACTAATTTCCTAATGGCATTTATCTAACTAATTTCCTATGGCTGGACATTTAGGTTGGATTGGTTTTTGTTTGCTTGTTTTTACTGTTATAAACGATGCTGCAAGGAAAATCCTCCTAGCTAAATCTCTGTACTCAGTTACAATTATTTCCTGCAAATAGATTCCTGTAAATAAAACCCATTAATCACAAGGCTACTCGGACCACAAAGGTGTCTGAAAGATATGCCAAATTCTCATTCTTTACTTATCAGGACCATTTCCTGCAGCGGTAATGTGATAACTTTCATCAGAATAAAATCATCATCATTACCATCACAGAAAAACTAAAGACATTTATTTTATTTCATTTCTTCTGGCTCTTCTGGCCTTGGCAATTGAAGACACTGGCAGACAATACCTCGCTGCTCAATCTAAGGCCATTTATATTTTTTCTTTAGCTTCACAGACTCTCAAATTCGTCTGAGCAGGAAATGTCCTAGCCTAGTGGTCAGCCAACTCATTAGTCACCAGAGCCAAATATCAACAGCACAACGATTGAAATTTCTTTTGAGAACTAAACTTTTTAAACTTAAACTTCTTCTAACGTCACTTCTTCAAAATAGACTCACCCAGGCTATGGCATTTTGTGGAAGAGCCACACTCAAGGGGCCAAAGAGCTGCATGTGGCTCGCGAGCCACAGTTTGCAGACCACTGTCCTAGGTGATAAAGAATGAGTACTGACCCTAGCCACTTTGGCTCAGTGAATAGAGAGTTGACCTCCGAACTGAAGGGTCCCAGGTTCGATTCTGGTCAAAGGCACATGCCTGGGTTGTGGGCTCAATCCTCAGTAGGGGGTGTGAACGAGGCAGCTGATCAATGATTCTCTCTCATCATTAATGTTTCTCTCTCTCTCTCCCTCTCTCTTCCTCTCTGAAATCAATTAAAAATATATATTTTTTAAAATATATTTTATTGATTTTTTTACAGAGAGGAAGGGAGAGGGATAGAGCGTTAGAAACATCAATGAGAGAGAAACATCAACCAGCTGCCTCCTGCACGCCCCCCACTGGGGATGTGCCCGCAACCAAGGTACATGCCCTTGACTGGAATTGAACCTGGGACCCTTCAGCCCGCAGACCGACACTCCATCCACTGAGCCAAACCGGTTTTGGCTGCAGCGTCTATTCTTTCTGGAAAGCCTATCTAAAGCGCAGAGAGTGTTCCCATGATGCTCACTGGTGACGGGGCACAGCGGCCCTTGTATGGAAGCAGTCAAGACCAAGGTACCTATTTTCTTTCTGGGGGGCGGAGAGAGGAGTGTGCCTGCCGCATTTTTAAATGAGCGCCTCCATGCGGGGGTCCCTTTATCCAGTCCGGTTATGGTGTTTGATCACCAAGTCCCCCTCCCGGGCTGCGGGGGGCGGCTCCGTGGGGTCAGGCACATCTGGCCACAGCTGCCCTCTCGAGCCCAAGCTCCTCTTTGCCAGCTAATTGCCACCTGCGAGACTGCCGGCTCACTTCCTGGTGATTTACCAGCGAGTGGTTAATCGTTCCCGTCGCAGAGAAAGGGGTGGAGGGGGAGCGGCTGGTTTGAAATATTCTGAACAAAGGACACCTCTGCGTGCCCATGTGGGGAGCCTTGGCGACAAAGGCAGGTGCAGTCATAGAGCCAGCGCTCGGGAACGGCTCAGGACCAGGACTCCTCCTTGAGGACAGGACGTGGCCTCCTGTCGGGAGGAATCACACTCAGTGGTTGAGTGTGTTGACCTATGTACCAGGAGGTCATGGTTTGATTCCTGGTCAGGGCACATGCCCGGACTGCAAGCTCGATCCCCAGTGGGGGGCGTGCAGGAAGCAGCCGATGAATGATTCTCTCTCATTGTTGATGTTTCTATCTCTCTCCCCCTCTCCCTTCCTCTCTGAAATCAATAAAAAATATCCTGCCGAGACCAGTTTGGCTCAATGGATAGAGCACCGGCTTGGGGACTGAAGGGTCCCGGGTTCGATTCCGGTCAAGGGCATGTACCTTGGTTGCGGGCATATCCCCAGTAGGGGGTGTGCAAGAGGCAGCTGATCGATGACTCTTTCTCATCGATGTTTCTAACTCTCTATCTCTCTCCCTTCCTCTCTGTACAAAATCAATAAAATATATTTAAAAAATAAAATAAAATAAATAAAAATCATATCCAGTTCTAGCTTGTTTGGCTCAGTGGCTAGAGCATCAGCCTGTGGACTGAAGGGTCCAGGGTTCGATTCCAGTCAAGGGCATGTACTTGGTTGCAAGCTCCTCCCTGGCCCAGGCCCTGGTTGGATCTCCTGCAGGAGGCAACCAATCGATGTGTTTCTCTCACATCGATGTTTCTCTCTGTCTCTCCCTCTCCCTTCCACACTCTCTCTGAACATCAATGAAAAAAATATCCTCTGGTGAGGATTAACAAAAAAAAAACAAAAACAAAACAAAGAAACAAAAAGAACTGCTATTAGGTATCACCTCTTTCTCCGACCAGAGCTTCAACTAGAGGGTCGAGGTTGCTGCTGACACCGCCCACGGAGCAGGGCGGACATGAGGGTGGGCGGACGGACAGAGGCAGGCCGCCTCCGGGTGCTGAGAGCTCGGGTTCTGAAGCAGCGTGTGTGTGTGGGACATGCTTTCCTTTCCCGAGTGACATCTCTATTTCAAGGAGCCTGGCATGTCTCAAAGGTCATCTGAGCTGAAAACGGTGTGGCTCAGTGGATAGAGCGTCAGCCTGCGGACTGAAAGGTCCCAGGTTCAATTCCGGTCAAGGGGCATGTTCATTGGTTGCGGGCACATCCCCAGTGTGTGTGTGTGTGGGGGGGGGTGCGAGGAAGGCAGCTGGTCGATGATTCTTTCTCATCGACATTTCTAACTCTCTATCCCTCTCCCTTCCTCTCTGTAAAAAAAAAATCAATAAAATATATAAAAGGTCGCTTGGTCTGGCAGCCCTGAGGGCCAGAAGGGGCAGAGCTGCAGGCAGAGCATCCTGCTCATCACGGGGCACTGCCGGCTGGCCCTGCCACGCATGCCTGGTGGGAGGGTTGTAGTGGGGGGAGAGAGAGAGGGCCACATTACCTTTGTCAGCTGCAGCTCCGACGAAAACCCCAAACCAAACACCGTGTTGGCTCTGCTGTCGGCCCACTGCCCAAACTTCTGCGACGTTTTGGTGAAGGTCATGTTGGGTGTGATTGTGCTGTTGATGATCACCTGCGGGGAGACGGCGGGAGAGCAGAGTGTGAACCCCGAGTCCGATGCCACAGCGACCCTGTCTCTGCGGGTGACGCCAGGACCTGGCCTCCCACCCTCCCCGACTTCTCGCGCTTCTGGCACCTCCCACGCTGAGTCAGGTGCACAGCCACGATGAGGGGCAATGCCAGAGGCTTAAGAACAGACTCTCAGCCTGAAATAAGAGCTTTTACACATTTTTTAAAAATATATATTTTGATTTTTGTACAGAGAGGAAGACAGAGAGATAGAGAGTTAGAAACATCAATGAGAGAGAGTCATCGACCAGCTGCCTCTTGCACACCCCCTATTGGGGATGTGCCCACAACCAAGATACATGCCCTTGACCGGAATTGAACCCGGGGCCCTTCAGTCCCCAAGCCGACGATCTATCCATTGAGCCAAACCGGTCCCGGCAGCTTTTACAAATTACCAGCGGGAGAAAGTGTCTCCTAAGCACAGTTTCCAGAATGGCTCTTTCTTTGCCCAAATAAAGACCAGGCACTCAACTGCCCTCAATGGCCAGCCAGGTCACATTTGGCCAAAGAATGTCATGTCGTATTTTTTTTTAAATATATATTTTATTGATATTTTACAGAGAGAAAGGGAGAGGGACAGAGAGCTAGAAACATCGATGAGAGAAAAATATCGACCAGCTGCCTCCTGAACACCCCCCACTGAGGATGTGCCCGCAACCAAGGTCCATGCCCTTGACCGGAATCGAGTCAAACAAGCTGGAACTGGATATGAGTTTTTAAAATATATATATATATATATATATATATATATATATATATATATATATATTAACCTGAGGACTGAAGGGTCTCAAGTTCGATTCTAGTCAAGGGCACATGCCCGGGTTGTGGGCTCCATCCCCAGTAGGCGGTGTGCAGGAAGGAACCGATCAATGATTCTCTCTCATCACTGGTGTTTCTATCTCTCTCTCCCTCTCCCTTTCTCTCTGAAATCAATATATATATATATATATATATATATATATATATATATATATATATATATACACACACACACACACACACACACACACACACACACACATATATATATATATATATATATTTTTTTTTTTTAAAGAGGCTTTAGGACGTGGGAGGAGAGTCATGGAGAGCAAGCTGCCGTGAAGAGAGGTGACCGTCTGGTGAAGACACACCAGCAAAGCGAACACCCTTCACCCCTGGCCTCTGACCTCCTGTCACCGGCCAAACCCAAGCAGAAGCCAGAGGCCCCGCAGGTCGGCCTCTCCGGCCGGAAGAGGGCAGAGGACGGGTCGGGAGGGGTGGGAGGAGGACTTCCGGCCCACGGTGCTCATTCATTCCTTCGGCACAGCTTCCTGCCTTCCCTGGATGCCAGGCGCGCTGCCAGCGCAGACACAGTGACGGATGAGTCCCGATTCCTGCTCTCCACCTCGCAGGTGGCCGGAAGAGGGCAGAGACGGGAATACAAGTGCTCACCCAAGAACCGATGTGTTCTAAAGTATCAATTTCTCCCTCCGACAGAAATCCTTGGAAGCTCTAAGCCTCTGAGAAATGCTCAAAGAAAAACGCCCTTGGAGATCAGGGATTCTTGGACGTCTGCTAAGCAGCATAAAACGAGAGCTGGCCGAAACCGGTGTGGCTCAGTGGATAGAGCATCAGCCTGCAGACTCAAGGGTCCCAGGTTTGATTCCGGTCAAGGGCGTGTATCGATAGCTTGGTTGCGGGCACATCCCCAGTGGGGGGTGTGCAGGAGGAAGCTGATGGATGTTTCTCTCTCATCGATGTTTCTAGCTCTTTATCCCTCTCCCTTCCTCTTTGTAAAAAAATCAATAAAATAATAAATAAACGAGAGCTAAGCCTCTCTCAGTCCCCAGGTCCCATCGCCTCACCCCGATCCCCGGGGTCCCTCCCATCCACACACCTGCATGGGGCCCTCACCACTGGGGCAGCCCGAGGCCACTCGCTCAGGAAACACACATTGTATCCTGGCATGTTGTGGCAGGAGTGCCTCTGTCCCCTCGTTCCCTACTCACAGGCCTGCTTCCTGGGGCAGGAGGATGCTTTGGTCCCGGGTCAGTACCTCTCATTCATTCATTCATTCATTCTGTCATCAGCATCAAGGAGCCCAAGCATTTCCCAAGCACAGCCTACAGTGAGGTGACCAGACGTCCCGCTTGTGGCGGGACAGTCCCGATTTTTAACAATTTTTCAGGACTTTTTTAAAAACCCTGTGGGGCACAGGACACATTGTTAGAAATCGGGACATCTGGTCACCTTAGCCTGCAGGGTCGCACGTGCTGGAGGTCAGCCAAGAAGGCAAAGGAAGCCACTCCTCCCACCGGCTGCTCTTGCCACCTGCAGGCTTGGCAAAGCCCTGGCAAAGCCCTGGCTCTCAGACAGCTCACCAAAGCCTCTGGGGCTTTTGGGACTTCCTGTGTCCACGGGGGAGGCGGGAGGAAGGGAGGAGAGGGGAGGAAAGGGGAGGAAAGCCTTCATTTTCTCCCACACGATCCTTTACATTCAACAGCCTCCCCGCCCTCACCGTAAGCCCTCGGCTGCAATTAGCGAGCCGACTGCTGGCCGCTGGCCCAGGCAACCCAGCGCTGACCTTCTCAGAGCAGCCGGCCGACAGCGGGAGCGGCCACGCTGCCAGAACGGCCAGCCAGGCCCTCCTCCCTTCTCTGCCCGTAACGGCCTGGGCTCCACGTGGCTCAGGCACCGGGACAAGGCCTCCCGCAAAGCTGGACAGACAGCGCCTCAGGATCCGCTCCTTCTGGGCACGGACCTCTCTGTCTTCCGGGCCCTGCTCGCGCCTGGAGGCCACCTCAGTGCCCGGTGCTGCTTGGAGGCTCTGCCTCATATCTGACTCCCCACCTCCTCTGCAGGGATGAGGAGGGGAGAGAAAGCGGACACTCATGAAAGGTGCCCATGTTTTGTTTTGTAATATATTGTATTGATTTTTTCCAGAGAGGAAGAAAGAGAGATAGAGAGCTAGAAATGTCAATGAGAGAGACACATCGATCAGCTGCCTCTTGCACACCCCCTACCGGGGATGTGCCCGCAACCAAGGTACATGCCCTTGATCAGAATCGAACCTGGGACCCTTCAGTCCTCAGACAAACGCTCTATCCACTGAGACAAACCGGTTTCAACGCCCATGTTTTTTGTTTTGTTTTGTTTTGTTTGTTTTAATATATTTTATTGATTTTTTTTTTTTTTTTTTACAGAGAGGAAGGGAGAGAGATAGAGAGAAACATCGATGAGAGAAAGTCATCGATCAGCTGCCTCTTGCACACCCCCTACTGGGGATGTGCCCGCAACCAATGTACATGCCTTTGACTGGAATCGAACCTGGGACCTTTCAGTCCGCAGGCTGATGCTCTATCCACTGAGCCAAACCAGTTTCGGTGCCCATGTTTTGTAGTGATTATGCTGCTTAGCAGACGTCCAAGGCTTGGTTCGGGAAGGTGCATGGGCCCCCTCTTGTTACGCTGGAGAGGACAAGGATGTAAGCCTTCACTAGGAATGTGGCGACTGCATCACCATTGTTTGCCGTGGTTAATCCTCACCCGAGGATATTTATACATTGATTTTTTAGAGAGTGGAAGGGAGAGGGAGAGACAGAGAGAAACATCGACGTGAGAGAGACACACCGATTGGTTGCCTCCTGCACGTACCCTGACCAGCGCCGGGGAACCCGCAACTAAGGTACGTACGTGCCCTTGACCGGAATCGAACCCGGGGCCTTTCGGTCTTTGGGCCAATGCTCTGTCCACTGAGCCACACCGGCTCAGGTGAAACTATATTGCCATTCCATTCAAAGTATGTCTGCTGATACGAAGTAAGGGTCGGGCGGGGATGTGGGGCAACAGGAGCTCACAGACTGGGAAAACCCATGTGGCTTCCTCGGGTCACGTTAAAAAGGCCATCCCCACCACATAGCAATCCCCGTCCTCAGTGCACACCTGAGAGGAAGCTCCGTGTGGGTAAAGCAGGGCAAACGGGCAGTTATTCACAGTAGCAGCGTTTGCAGAAAGCATGCCCAGCCGAAGCCGGTTTGGCTCAGTGGATAGAGCGTCGGCCTTGGGACTGAAAGATCCCAGGTTCGATTCCGGTCAAGGGCATGGACCTTGGCTGCGGGCACATCCCCAGTGGGGGGTGAGCAGGAGGCAGTTGGTCGATGTTTCTCTCTCATTGATGTTTCTAGCTCTCTATCTCTCTCCCTTCCTCTCTGTAAAAAAATCAATAAAATATATTTAAAAAAAAACACGGAGCCGGTGTTTCTGCCCCAAACCGCCTCTGATCAGAGTTCTGGGAAGCTAGGTCTGCCAGACGCACACACGCACGGGGCTTCCTGCTGTCCACGCGCAGGGCCGACCTGGTGACAGTCAGAAGCTCCAATCCTGGTGAACTTTAAGCAGTGACCCTAGTCCTGCCCGCTGCCCTCCTGCAGCCACGAGAGCACGCGGCCAGCTTGACCTCATCGCCTGCTAATTCCCCCCACCCCACACCCTGGCGTTGCCCACACCAGCTGGGGGCCGGGACGCTAAAGCCAAGCCAGGTCCTCAAGGAGGGCATCTCCTGCCCAGAAGGGGATCCGGGTCCCAGCACACCTGCCTCGCGGACTCTTCAGCAGCAGCCGGGACTAACGCGTGCCATGGTGTCTCGGAGGAGAAGCGTTACGGGAAGATGAACCACGGGTCTGAGCACAGATCTGTCCCAGGATGAGCCCGCCAAGGGCTCTCTGGGGGAGGAGAGACCTTCAGGCACCCTTCCTGGAGTAAACACGGTGCAGGGCTGGCCCGAGCAAGGAGCCTGCCGTGCCCTGTGTGCAGTGACAGCTGCTGTGGCTGCCGGCAGCCCCTCCTCCCGGCACCAGCCTGTGCGTGGCGGGCTACCTGTGGCTGACTCAGCAGCTCATGTGCTGTGACCTCTGCTCACAACGACCTCCAAGGCCCTTCCTCGCTGGCAACTTGCACTTGG